AGGGTTAGTGGTTTTAGTAATATCACGTGAATCGCACTGTCCCTAACTGTCCGTAAGAACTGTCCGTAGACTCTCCGTCCTCAATCGGATAATCATGTTTAGTTCCGGTTAATCGGTTACCAACAGGTTTTCACCTGACGAATCATGGTTGTGATTTTCAAACCGGTTTGGAACCCTACTAAGCAAGATCTGTAATCTACCTCGTTGCGGATTTCACCCTTTCATATTTTAATTATTAACATTCAAAATTAGCTAAATTAAAATTTTATTTCATATTACTTTTCTATAGCTCTTTGTAAAACTAATTGATTTTAATTTTTCTTACGTATTTAAAGCCTTTTTAATTAAAAAAAAGATTTTATGATTTTTATTAATTCTTTACTTTAAAAGTCAAAAAAATTATGTAATAACTTAGTATTACATACTTAGGCCTCAAAGTTGATTAGTTGGTTAATGTTACTGTTCCCACTGAAATTGAACATGCCAACCACAATACAACAAAGATTTCATTAATAATGTGATCGAAGTTGACCAATGAAATCCAATTAAATATTCTTAGGTATATACGTTTGTTTAAATCTTCCCCCTTGCTCTGAACCCAAAATATTGACGTTACCAACTAATTAACTTTGAGAGGCCTTATATATATTAGCAGAAATTTTTCGAAGTTGGATCTTCCCGGCACAAAGATGCTATAATAAGGAAAAAATTTCATTTGATACGTTATAAAAAGCTCATGTAACATAAAAACAAACATCCACTATGGGTATTAGTACAGTGATCTTCGAAATTGAGTAGCTACCGGTATAATTTAATTTTCATGAAGTCAGTTTATATATTATATTCATTAAAGTCATTGTGCATATTAATAACTTAAAAGGTTAGAGTTGTATGCATGACGTAAATGTTAGTGTAAATAAATGCAATCGTAAATAAATAATGGTTTTTTTTGGTGATTCTACAATCATTTAATCGACCAATCATTTAGCCGACATCACTCCATGTGACAATTTATTAACAATACATACTTCAACTAATAATATACTAAGTCGTCACATGGAGTGATGTCGGCTAAGGCTCGAAACAATGTAAAAAGAGAGTCAAGTTGCCATGTGCGGTGGACATCATATGAATTCGTAACCAATATTTAAGCATAAATTTATTTAAATCTTAATGATCAATAAACTAAACTAAATAAGAATCATAAAACTGCAGATAAACTAATATATATATATAATAATAAAATATTCATACTAGAAAAAAAAGCATAATATCTAGACTAATAAAAAAAAAGTATAGTGCTTACCATAATATTGACATGATGCGCCACTTACAAATGTTGATTAATCTATTTGAAAGGACGTTAACATGATATTTTAATAAAGTTATCAATATCATCCTTATTTTCTTATACTTAAATTAATATATTGCTTAATAATAACTTAAATGATGTTTGCTATTTATATAATAAATTATGTAAAAGATTCAGCATTTACCATTTGTTCATAGGTTAGTTGTTCTTCATAATAGCAATTGAAATAGAAAGGCAAAATATTATAACTATTAAAATCGATAAATTCATCCCAGTTATTCGGTGAAAGAGGATGAATAATTTTTGGTGGAGGCTGTTCAGAACTTTTGTTATCACTATAAATTGCTGGAATATCATTTATTTGAAATGAGGATTCATTTGGTTTGCGGCTTCATTTTTGTTTTCTGCCTCTTTTTGCCCATAATACTCGTACACAATCAAGGTTTCGTTTTTTGCAATATCTACATTGAGTACCTTCATTGTCGCATTTATGCTTTTTCTTCTTACAATTGGCGCATGCTCTCTCACGAATATATTTCTTTCTGCAAGCCATTGTTGTCAAAAAGATAGGTAAGGACAAGTTTCAGAATAACAATATAAAAAGGTTTCAGATATATTCAAATTTATTTAATATTAAAGGATGAAAGTCATGAAAAGTAGAAATTGGACTTTTTATATTTTCTTGAGATAAGGAATTTTTGGTTTGATAAATGTTCTAGATAAGAGTTCTAAATTTGCGTGTTATGTAAAATTCTCAATTGATATTTTTCTGTAAACACAAATTCATCTTAATGGTACAGTCAATTGATTAATTTGTACTAAGCCACATCACACCATGGAAAAATAACTTCACAAATAAAAACTTAATCCAAATTTTCCATTATAGCTTTTTCTATATTAAGTATTCTTTGTAATATATTCTTTGTAATATGTAATATGGATCATACTACAACGTGCATTATGTAATTATATTTATTAAAATCTTTAAATGTATCACTTCAATGCGTTATTTTAATGCATAGTTTTAGAAACTAATAATGCTTTAGGAATTTTAAAAATGTCTTATGACATTTAAAATATGTCTGAGCCAGAAAATTATTGTAAAGTAGAAATTACAAATAGTTTGTAAAAACATGGGCCTAGATCATTACTACGCATTGTGAAATCTGAAGACCTGACTATATTATGAAATGTGTTATTGACTATTTCTTTGTTTGATATTTCTTATTGTTAATAGATAACGCCTGACTCGCCTTTACGCGAGAAAATGGGCTAGGCATTATCTTATATGATTTAACAAAAAAAATTAAATGACAAGTGTACTTCATAGCCGGAATTATTTTACCGATATTATGTAAAATAGCCTTGGAACTATAGCCGAGGACACATTTGGTGAATTGTTCCACTATAGAATTACTGATTATCTATCACGTGATTCGATCAAAAAAGCATTATTTTGAAAATCTGGTTTTTGAAATTTTGTTTTTCCCCTTGACGCTAATACGTAACATTAATAAAGTGAATAATGCTAATAATTTTAATAATATTAATAATATTTTAATTTCCGCAATAATAATTCACATTTTAAAAATGCTTATGATCTAAATACACAGCTGTTTGTATGTAAATCATTGTAAATTAACTGATCACAATTATATGAATAGTTGTCTTAAAATACTATCATAATGTAACCTAGTTTAATATCAACATTAGATGAATAATAATTACAAAAAAAAAGGGTTCGCTCGATGATACCCTTGTCAATGTCAATACATGTACTAGTGTAACTATCAAAAGGAAGAGCTTACCATGTTTAGCTCTGTGGTTAATGTTGGACAAACTTCCTAGACCTGACAATAACATATGGAACTCGTACTTTATATGAGGCATTTATTATAGAAGATTACTTCCTTCTTTCATTTAAGAACGAGGGCAAGTTATATAAATTTTACATATTTTTTTAAAATATTTACAGAACTAACTACATTGGTTCTATAATGCACATAAAAAAAATTCAATATATATGTCATAGATCAGTATATGCATGATATTATTGGCATATACGTAATTCACAAGTACTACGCCATCCAAAATGCTTAATACTACTAAGGGTAACAGGCAAGCTTGGAATCCAAATCTGGAAGCGATAACATTCATAATTGGACAAATGATATTAAATACTACCAGTTACACTAGCTTATCAGTGTTATAGAATATTTTTAATACTTAATATGATAGCTGCGCAATGTTGTCTATAATGATGTATCACGTACATTACAGTACATAAAAAATTTTTTAGAATATTCTAGATCAAATCATGATAGTATACCTATCTTAAATGTTTGATTAAGAAACTGTCTTTCGCATTCTAACAAAAATTGGTTCTTACACAATGTTACATATAAAATATTTATGAATTTTATGTGTATTATGTGTATTACGTATGTTATCCACACTATCAGATGCCCAATCTGTCATGCTTTAAAAATAGATACCTTTGAATTATTGAAATTAATTTCAAGAATAGTTAAACTTGATATACAAAAATTTTATGTTTAAACAGAGTAACTTTGAATTATTGAAATTAATTTCAAGAATAGTTAAACTTGATATACGAAAATTTTATGTTTAAACAGAGTAAACTGGTATAACCACAAGCCTGATTTATTCAAATCAAGTGAAGCAGAAAATTTATATGATATAAATGATTCAATAATGATAATACTGTCAAAACAGCAAACAAAAACAGGTAAAACAAGAATAAGTTCATGTATGAATCATAGGGTTAAAAGCCACGATAAAAAATAACATTCTAATAATCTAGAATAATCTTTTGATCATAAGCATCGAATTTTCAATTTTTTTTTATCATGTGTCAATAGACAAAAAGCCTCATAGAGTATAAATATAGATGAAGCATGAGATTAGATCAATCAATCAGACAAAAAAGAGATACATCATTTTATATTTTTGTAAACTATACTCTACATATCTTGTACTCCATTCCTAGTATATTTATTGGTTAGAAAGTAATTCAATGGTTTACTTCTTACATCAAAAATCAGAAGTATAAGAGATACTTAGAGAATAAATACCTTTTAATATTAGGTTGTTATTAGCAAGCATCGGGGTACCTAATAACTATTTTATATTTGTTCTTTTAATCAGTGTATGTTCTTCATTGTTATAGTTTATCCCAAAAATTGAGTTACTACTGGGCAGTTGACAGGATCACTTAAAACCAAGTATATTATAAAATTTTCTATTAATTATTGTTTACACAGATTAGTTTGACAAAACAAAAAAAGTAAAAATCTGAAAATACACAAAGTGATTGTCTTAAACTTACCTTAACACATTAAATAAAAATATTAGAAGAACAATTTTATATATAATACTCTTCTAATTTTAATCTATATATGTTCTAATTAAACATTAAGCTAATGTTAATAATAACTTTATGATATATCTGTCTTCTAAAAAAGAGGGTCATTTAAAGTAAAGAAAAATTACATAATTGACAGCTAATCAAATTATAGAATTTTAATATATTATTAGTAAAGTAAAATAAAAATAAAAATCAAAAATCAAAAAACAACAATGCATTATGAAACTTATATATATAGTTATATATTGATTACTAACAGAATATATATTAATAGTAATTACCTCTGTTAAGTTTCATCAATTATAATTATAATCATTATATAGTCAATTAATAATCATTAATTTTTATTATTTTTGATATTAAACAATATATAGTTGATATAAACAGTTTATATCAAATATATTAAAATAATACAAGTTGAAATAAATTTACTATTGTATATATTATATACTATACATTGAATTTGTTTTAGAATAAAATTATTAAACTAATTTTATTTATAATTTAGTTAATACAATCAATATTGTAAAAAACATAATACAATACAAATTGCAATTACAAATTACATATTACAAATTAAAAAATAAAAAAAATAAAAAAGATAAAATAAAAAAAAATTACTATATTTCAATTCTAAATAATTGATTCATCTTATTTTGAAACATTTGCATTATGTTACTTTGTCAAAATAATGATTTTACTTCTGATTTACTATTTGATATAGTTATATAAAATCTTTGACCTTCATTATTTACAACTCATTATTAATTAATAATTTAGCAGATTTATAAGATAGGCTATTACTAATAAAGACATTTTATAAAGAAAATTAATAAATAATGTTTTTAGATTTACTCTTTCCGTAGATCACTTATACTAAAACTAAGAAAAAACATTTAATTATTTCTCAACTTTCTACTAAGTAAACCT